TTTTGGACAATTTCATGCTCCCAACTTTGTGGGAGGAGTTTGGGGATGGCCCCTTCCTGTTCCAACATGACTGCGCACCAGTGCACAAAGCAAGGCCCATAAAGACATGGATGGGGGAGGAACATGACTGGCCGCACAGAGTCCTGACCTCAACCCCATAGAACACCTTTGGGATGAATTAGAGGCGGAGACTGCGAGCCCCTCCCCCAACATCAGTACCTGACCTCACAAATGGTCCAACATTCCCATAGACACACTCCTAAACCTTGTGGACGCCTTCCCAGAAGAGGCGGAGCTGTTATAGCGGCAAAGGGCGGAGCCAACCCAATACTGAACCCTACGGACTAAGACTGGGGGGCCATTAGAGTTCATGTGCGTGTAAAGGAAGGCGTCCCAATACTTGTGGTGATATAGTGTATGTGAGATAGGCACCCTAGATTGTAAGCTCCTGGAGGGCGGGGACTGGTGTGAATGTGCACGTGAATGGCCGGCACTCTATAAATACCTGTAATGAATAATAACTCCAAGTCCAGTCTTTGATATTATCTCAAACTCCTACAAGGAAAGAACCTCAATGAATCTCCTGATTCGTGAGTCCAGTAGGACACAAATGGGTACAATGGTAGCTGCAGGAAGCAACTCCGGCAGTGAATCTCCGGGCTTGGGAGAAGGGAGAGGCTGATATAACTCACGCTCCAAGAATCTTCAGTCTTCACTATTACCCCATGGACATTCCCAAACCTCGAGAAGGGCAGAAAACAATAACATCTACCCCCCTAAGGCTCCCAAGGGGAGGAGCAATGCTCTGCTGGTTGAGCTTAAAGGCCATCCTCCTAGGGGCAGGGCCTATACCTCAGAGGTCTGCTTTCCCCCTCAGCTAATGCTTAGAGAAAAGAAGCCTTGCATCCTCAGGACTTCTCTAGACATGTTGCAGCCTTTGCAATGATCCTGACAGAGCTTACACAAGGGTAGGCAACCTCAACACTCCAGCTGCTGCAGAACTACAAGTCCCACAATGCATTGCAAAACTCTAAGCCAAAAGGCATGATTGCCAGAGGCATGATGTAGTTTCAGTACAGCTGGAGGGCTGAGGATGCCTTCCTCTCTTAGGCCTCATTCACAGCTCCGTGCAGCGCGCGGGGCCGTATCGGGCAGCTACCGGGAGGGACAGGTGCTGTGTGTGTGATTAGTACGCCGCCCCCGTCCTTCTCTATGGGACTACGTCGCCCCACGCTCACCCCAAGTGCGGGTGTCGCGGCACGGACGCAGAAAGGATCCATTCCGTCAGTGTTCGAGTACGCTCACCAACACAGACGTGTAGGGCGGCATACGGCCGCGTACTCCCATAGAGAAGGACGGGGGCGGCGTACTCATCACACGCAGAGCACCTGTCCTTCCCGGGAGCTGCCCGATACGGCCGGCCTTTTCTTGTGTGAATGGAGCCTTAGGGTTGTCTTTAAACCTGCAATTTTCAGCCTTTCTTCAGTCACAAGACCCCTTTAAAAGTATGCAAAATCTCGAAGCCCCCCCAGTCTAAAGTATAATGGATTTTAAGGGGTGGACTCGAGGCAAAACACTCAAAGAGGTCCCCCTATTCACAATGAAGTCCCCCTTCTCATCCGGGCCCCCCATTTTCACATCAGATTACCCCCTTCGCACCAGGAGCCCTCCCTCACAATAGGAGCCCCCTCTTT